AGAATAATGACAAGAAAATTAAAAGAAATAGAGCCATTCGATTTTTCAAAATATCCGATAGACTTGAGGTCACTATGAGCCGTATTTTGCAGCTAATGTATTATAATACTAACATAAATGTAGCTTAAAAACTGCCCGATGAATCTTATTCTAATTTTCGCAAAATTAACCACAATATATTAGCATCATAATACCAAAGTTTCATTTTGATTGAATCATTTTAACGCTTTCAAAATTCGACCTAAAATGAGAGTAAAAATCCTTAAAACGGGCTAAATTAGAAAAATAACCACACAGAGCGAAAGAAGTGCTATTACTCAATGATCTGGTAAAATTTCGAGGCTTTATTTCACGTTTCAATGATTTTATTGAAAATTTTGATGAATCTCCATACATTTCCTTATAACAGGACACCACAGAAACCAAGCTTGGGCTACCTGTGACTCAACTAAACTACGAAGTCATGGGCTTCCTGTGTCTTAGTTACCAGTCCTACACCGTTTACGCAGTCCGTAGTAGTCTGGGTCAAGTAAGATTGAACCAAGTCAAAACGAAAAAACTTTACAGGAAAAAAATACGATTTTTCTTTCCAAAAAATGCAATATTAACCTAAATTTGTACTCTGCTACAATGCCATTACCGTCCAGAGGTTCAAGACATAATGAGGTAACTAAATTGTTAAGGATTTTTGCCATTTTTTTGTTAAAATTTACTCCACTTCGCGAGATTGTGAATCAACTTTCTTTCAAAATGTCTGCAGATGATTTTTGTTTTGTTTTGTTTTTACCAGGTTATAGAACCAATGCAGGTTGATATTGCTCCTGAAGTCGATCAACAAGCTGCAGAAGATAATTTTATAATTGAAGCGGCTACAATTGTAAGTATTACAACAAAAAATAGATCACAACACTACTGTACATATAAAAACTTACCATTTTTATTTCAAATATTGTAAGCTTAATAGGGTTTTATTTCAATCATATCCATGTTTCAAGAGATATTTTTTTGATGGTGTAGTTCTAGAAAAAGTGTAATTCCCTCTTCGAGAGAAGGCAATCAACTACATAATATACCCTCCTCAGACCCTCCCCACCCCTTGGAAATCTCTATCCCACTCCATGGGGGAGGTATGGATATTTTCTGGTACTACACAATATTCCCTCCTCAGGCCCTCCCCACCCCTTGGAAATCTCTATCCCACTCCATGGGGGAGGTATGGATATTTTCTGGTACTACACAATATACCCTCCTCAGGCCCTCCCCACCCCTTGGAAATCTCTCTCCCACTCCATGGGGGAGGTATGGATATTTTATGTTACTACATAATATACCCTCCTCAGGCCCTCCTCATTCCTTTGATATTCCAATTGAATGACAGAGATATTCTTTTGTATTTTTTTAGGATCTTGATGTATATGCATCCAACTACATTGGTCTTACAAAGCTAAGCCGACTTATGTTTGTAGCTAAACATTGCCCAGCACTTGAAATAGATGCTCTAAGGTATATTAATTACATATGGTTTTTTATCTACAGGGACCTCTTGTACCAAGGGTGGATAGCTCTGTCCAATGGATAAAGCTTACCCAGTGGATAAATAATTTCTTCGATAACTGCATTGACAACCACACACACCAAAAATTAGCTCTTTCTCATATAATTATTTATTTAGTTTCAACTTTCTTTTCACTATTCATTAATATTACTCCTGTTGTAGGCACTAAAAAAACGTTGAAACGCTCACTGGGTTGTTGAAACTATTTCTGTATTTAACTTGAATCAGTAAAAGTACAATAAGAAGAATAAGTTCACAGTAAGGTAATTTGATCGAATGAATCGAGTGAGTCGAGTGAGTCGAGTGAGTCGAGTGAGTCGAGTGAGGTTTCTAAACAAAAACAAACAAAATATTACAAAACTAATATTAATATAAGGAAAATAATGCACTAGTTACATACCTGACGGTTAAAAGTCCTACATGAATTTATGATATGAAAAAATAAACGAAAAATACTACGGATGATTTTGCACGTGTAAAACAAAACTCGAAAGTAAAAAACTACCGCGCAGGCCTGGGTCTGATTTATCTTTTCTGGTAATTTATGTTAATTCGTTGTTACACCTGTGAATACTTGTAAATATTTATGTGTATGTGAATCAATAAAAATGTTTAAAAATGTTGACTTATCCACTGGATAAGGATTTATCCGTTAGATACATGTAGCACCGTATCCACGCTTCATACAACTGGGCCCAGGACAACGTCATGCAAGTACCACAATGGAATTTAAAAGCATTGATTTTTGCAGAGGAAAAACAAGAGATGCAGTAAAACCAAAACCCTTTAGAGACACAGGAGAGAACTAACAACTACTCCCACATTATGAAGTAAAATAGAAGCAGAAATCATATAATCCTTTGTCCTTTTGTCTGATTGCAGGATTGCTCTTAACTATGTTAAACACACTTTCAATGTTCAACTGTATCAAGAAATTATCCAAAGGTTGGCAGATGCATGGTGAGTGAAACACTATGAGGATATATGCATATGAATTAGTAATATTGTAGCAGAAACAGTCACAGTATTTTACTCGAGTAAGCGCATCTCTGGTGTGGATCTTATTCAAGGGCGGCACTTATTTAAAAGTCTCATGCCAGGTACCAAAAGATGTTGGATAACGATGTGACTACAGGAGATTTGTTTGCTGTATTAATAAGAGTGGGGCAACTGAACTCATTTTAAGGGCACAGACTAAGACAAAGTGGATCCACTTGCGTTAGATATAATTTTGGACATTCCGCAACAGTCGTGACATCGACACCGAGTGAAGAGTTGTTGAAAACCTGCAGAAAGGTATTGACAAGGCAGTTATGAAATCCAACACTCAGGTAGTTCAGGAGGTTAGCAATTACAGTGCAATTTTATCATCTTATGGAAATACTCAAACAAGTGCCTCACCGGAGCTGGGGCGCTTATTCGAGGGTGGCACATATTCAAGGGTGGCGCTCATTCAAAGATGGCACTTATTTGAGGGTGGCACTTATTCGAGGGTGGCACTTATTCAAGTAAATACAGTAAGCGGAGATAGTAGTTGAACGTTGTTGTAGTAGTAATGTCATGCTTGTACTTGACTAGTAATAGGCATGGAGACGTAGAGCCTCCTACAGTAGAGACGACATGGGTAGAGACAACAAGCAAAAAGGCAGCACTAAAGGTATCTCATTATTCTAATTCACAAGTTTTCCTATATTTCTTTATGATCATTCAATTCAGATTTTCCCTTCTTATTTATTGCATTTTTTTCCTAGAGAAAAATTGTAGTCTGTCATAGTAGATAAAGGAGCATGGTATGGGGGGGTTATTCCAGTAATATTTGCATGCCATTGTATTATTCTTTTAATAATAATAATAATAATAGTAATAATAATGGGGGTTCTTATATAGAGCATTAATCTTCTGAAAAACCTGCTAAACCTGAAATTTGGCTTGGCATTTGGCCATTGGCAAGCCACTATTTTGAGCCCTGGATTTGTAAGTTCTCTTCTGACAAGAAGTTTTCTTAGATTCCATTTTCTTCTGCTTTTACAAAAATTATAGTCATGTAAATTTATATCAATCACAAGTCACTGATGTAGCGAGTAAAATGTATGATATTTTTAGATCTGTAAAGTTTCAGCTGAATTGAACTTATTATTTTTGTCCAAGTAACTCTGTAATTCTCTGAAAATTATCTAGATACATGTGAGTTAATTGTAAAATTAATTGATTATTTTTAATTTTAATTTTAGCTTGAAAAACTGGACACTGACTTAAAGAATTGCAAAACCAACTCCATCAAGGAAAGTGTAAGGTAGGCAAAGTTATTTCTTTAATTCTTTAAAAATTTTATATTGGAATAACTTGTCTGTTCAAAATCCTTTAGTGCTCTGATTTAGAACAGAACAGAGGTTGTTTCAGGGTT